TATTGTTACTTCACTTTGTTTATTTATATTTTCATTCAGTTTGTTTATTTATTAATTTACTAATTACTTCAGTTTGTTTATTTATATTTTTATTCAGTTTGTTTATTTATTAATTTACTAATTACTTCAGTTTGTTTATTTATATTTTCATTCAGTTTGTTTATTTATTAATTTATTAATTACTTCAGTTTGTTTATTTATTAATTTACTAATTACTTAAGTTTGACCCCAGGGATCGTGCACGATTATGAATACCCTTTAACCTTTAACCCAGATATCGTTACATAACATTCCATAGAACTATCCCGTCCTTCTATTACATAACATTTCAATGCAACAGCTACCACCCCCCCCTCCTACCCCCCCCCCCCCCCTTGTGTAAGACTTTATGAGTTACAAAGCGATTCGGAATTAAAAGGAATTAGTGATTTTTATAAAGAAATCGTATAAATATTAAAGTAAATTACTTGTAATATTTAGGCTACATAAGTAACAAACGTACGGACATACACTAAGTTTAAAGGAAAGATAAGTAAGGCTAATTGCATAAACTTCCACAGTCAAACTCTAAGAGTAGAGATTTCGCAAGACGTAAGAAAACTCCAAGACAGTTGAATGTAACTCAGCTCTATTTTAACGTAATATATAACAATATGTTAAACCTTGTCTACCTCTATGAGTTTCGTATACTAACGATCCCTTACATAACGTTGCTCAAAATCCAATGTATAACAAAATTATAAACTTCCCCTACACCCAATGTGTTATATATGTGCACGATCCCTAAATAATTAGTGCGGTGTGACCCCCAACTCTGACCCCGGTTTGTGGAAGATAACAAAAATGTGTTCACTATATGGCTAAAAAATGTATTTTCATTAAACATAATTTTATTGACCATTAATAATTTATTCCGTGACCTCAGATAATGTATTCTGTGACCTGGATATATTATGTGATGTCAGATGATCTATTCACCATATCCCTAATGTATTCACCGGGTTACACACTTACACAAACACACACACACACACAAACACGCTTACACAAACACACTTACAAAAACACACACAAACACACTTACACAAACACACACACACACAAACACACACCGTGACACTTTAAACTGCCCTATCACACTGTCACGCTGTCACACTGTCACACTGTCACGCTGTCACACTGTCACACTGTCACACCTGTCACACTGTCACACTGTCACAACTGTCACATCTGGAGGTCTTTTGTCACGACACGTATCAGTTTTACAGGTGCTAGAAATCCACCGTCTCCGCCCCCCATTAAAGAATTAAAAAACATTTGAAATAACCATTTAACTAGTACCACCGAATGTGCAAACATGTGTAATAAAAAATCTATTAAAATTCATTTCTAGCTTAAAAAAAGAATGTATAAAATACCACATGCTGTCAAATAGAAATAGCATAATAAACAAGAGTGTTCAAAGACTTAAAATCGTCTTTGTTATATCTATAAATACACAGCTCGTGTCTGACGTCATATCCGGCCTGGCTCACCACTAGACGACCGGAAGGGGAGTAGGCTATACACTTTGGTGACGTCAGGCCGTCCTTGGAGGTGATGACTTCCCAGAGACGCCCATTCTTGGTCAGCATGTACACGCCAGAGTTGCAGACGACCAAAGTGTTGTCGTCATTGTCCGAACAGACGCCGTATAAGGAAATGAAATTCTCTGGAGGTAATCGGAATTCTGTGGAAGAAAAACATCGGAGTAACCGTCCTTGAAAGTGGAAGATTTTGACAGAGTTATTGCCCGTGTCGGACACGATTATCTGTTTCGACGAGTTGGTCGTGACGCAGTAGGGGTGGTCGAATTCCCGGGGGCCGTCGCCGTAGCTCCCGAACGTGTGGCTGACGCCCCCCGTCGGCGTCAGCACCGTGACGCAGTGCTTGCAGATGTCCGTGACGATAAGGTGGTCGTCGGTGGTCACCGCCAGCCCGTGGGGGAACTCGATCTCGTTCTGATGGACGTAGCTGTGCAGGAGCTGACCCCCGGGGGTGAAGATCTTGACCGCGGCGTTGACGCTGTCCGTCACCACGATGTTGTCGTTGGTTGTCATGGCGACGCCGATGGGGTAGCACAGCTGTTCGGGTTTGGAACCCTTTTCTCCGAATTTAGCTTTGAAGTTGCCATCGGGTGTGAAGATTTGAACCCTGTGGTTTTCGGTATCCGCCACCACTACGTCACCTGAGAGGGATTAAAATTTTTTTAAAGTTTCAAAAAATAGGAAAATTTATTTTTGATCTACACAATCCTAAACGTAATGTTAAGACACTCATGTGGTTTATGAATTTGTAATGTACAAGTTTAAATTTTATCAATGCTCGATTCTTTAGAACTAAATGATAAAACAATTTTAATTATTTAAAAATTATGGTTTCTAGACATATTATTTGAGCGTCAGATATATTTCTAAGGTAAAAGTTCCCTTTTCGAACCTGACGATCATGGAGCAAGTGAAGTAGAGTTCACCTGTTTCTGTTACCTCGGCATATGAAGGGTTAGTGTGGTTAGCGTTATGCCCCGCAACTCTGTTTACTGTTTGAGCCAGTTGTGGATGTACACTATTTATACGAACATCATCAAAACGATATATTATATTTAAAGTACTATTTGCTATATATCGATATTTTTCTGTAATTGATACCGATGGTTAAGCTCTTAACCCATCCAAAACTAACTGTAACCTTAACAATGAACCTAAGTCGAACTAACAGGCATCAAACTATGATTCCGGCAATACCACTACACAAATATATATATATATATATATATATATATATATATATATATATATATATATATATATATATATATATATATACATATATATATATATATATATATATATATATATATATATATATATATATATATATATATATATATATATATATATATATATATATATATATATATATATATATATATGGGTACGGCTAATCGATGGGAAACTGTAATTCTCGTGACACGTGATTAGGGATGGGAACCTGACATCGTTTAGCATCATGTGACCGGTGGGTGGGGGGAGGTCAGGCATGTGATATCATTTAAGAAAGCCGCCTACGGAGTTCCAATTTTTTTCTAAAATGACAAGAAAAGTGTAAGATTTTGTACCCCATAAACAAGATAATGGCTCGATTATAACAGCTGTGGTTAAAAAAAACACCCATCCTCAGGTATCGACTACTTCATATTTACACTCGAGAAAACAATCGATTACTTGAAATAATCGTGGCTTTTCGACACAGTTCTGCTGGGAAAATCTATCCCATAATTCCTGGTGTTGGCTTCACAAAAGCCGGAGTAAAAAATTGGTATGGGAGGGGATGGGGAGATTAATGCCTGATGCCGCCCATCCCTCCTCCCCCACCCCTCCCCACCACGCTCGGGGGGGGGGGGGGCTGACAGTGACGCTTTAAAATTATTATTAATGGATAACTCTGTCACGCCGTTGTTTAAAAGCGGGTTATTTCCTCCTGTATTTTTTTCAGCTAATGTTACGACAGTTAAGGTTTTTTGGGAAATAAATTCACTCAAACAGACAGCGCGGAGTTGGTTTTTTTTTTTTATAAAGACGGGTGCTGTGTGTTGAGCATATACCAGATATGTGAGCAGAGAAAATAGTTTCAGGCATTTCTTCAGAGGGTGGGGGTCTTGCAAACTCCAAAAGCAAGTCCACCCGCCCCCAGGAAATTTAGGTCTCCAACGTTTCAAATTCCTTTCCCCCCCCCCCCCCCCCCCCACCGAGGAAAAAATGGCAGAGAAGAAGATAATGTCGGTCATTTGAGATCATTTGCGATCGTGCCGTTTGAACTCTAAAAAACAAAAATCCCAACTTGTTCCATATCACCCCTCCCCGTATACCATCTTGTGTTGCATTAGTGTCAGTGGCGCGAACATCACCTCAGTGTGTCACCGCCCTCCCCCCCTCCCTCCCCCATATACACATCTAAACACCTTTAAATTTCCACTCAGTTGTGAACTTGTGATTCCCCTTTATTCTCGAGTCACCGTTAACTAGTTAGCGTCACCCGACGTGAACCAACCTTCCCCACTCGTTGAAGCTTCTATTCCTTCGAATTACATATCTCCACTGCCCCCCCCCCCACACACACACACTAAACAATCCTACCCAGACGCAGTGGCGTAGCCAGGATCGTCTCAAGGGGGGGGTTCCAATTTTTACCCGGGGACAAACTTTCGATTTGCACCCCCCCCCTCAAACTTTCGATTTGCACCCCCCCCCTCAAACTTTCGATTTGCACCCCCCCCTCAAACTTTCGATTTGCACCCCCCCTCAAACTTTCGATTTGCACCCCCCCCCCCTCAAACTTTCGATTTGCACCCCCCCTCAAACTTTCGATTTGCACCCCCCCTCATACTTTTTATATATACCGAGGGGTCTATGGGGGGGGTTATGACCCCCCCTAACCCCCCCCTGCCTACGCCACTGCCCAGACGTCCCGGCATGCTTCCAAATCTGTAACGTTTGTTCTTATCGCCAGAAAAAAAAACACTTTTTATTCCAGATTTCTTCAAAGCATTCCATAAAATTCTACTCTGCAGATGATACTACCTCAGCGATTTGGATTTTATCCCGACTGGTTCTCTCAAAGTTATCCCATCTAAGGGACTTGTTAACTAGTGACAATGTAGGCTGGGGGGGGGGGTTGCAGCGTGTACTCGTTGTAGCATAACTGGTTCTGTTGAGAGGCGACGTGGACGTGTTCTATGTTTATGTTTTAGTGTACTTGTAACGGACACCAATCTACCAGCCAGATAGATGGCGAACGCTCCCGGATTCGTTTAACTGGTTACACACAGAAGGCGACAAGCCTAAATAAAAGAAAGTTGACACACTAGCTCGCTAGGACTCGTAATGGATGTCTAGGGGAAACACTAGAGAAACTAATGATGCCAACAAAACATTTAATCTGCATATAACTTGTAATGAGTGTACAAAGTCGTGGCAGAACACTAGATTTATACAAGAATAAAATGGATATACAGAATGATCAAAACCCAACTTACAATTCGTGGGAAAAAATAATATGATACACTATCACAGCTTTAAACACTTCAGAAAAATCACCACAGTATACAAAACACTGCTATAAGCATAAAGAATTACTTAACCACAAGTAATATAATAATATGCTACTTAAACAACTTAGTACTAAGCTGCAACACACAGGGCTTATGTCTCTTCAACGACGTCTGGTCAAAATGAACTGCCTCGAGACACCTGTGGGCGGTCTATTTATAGACTTAGGCAACATGGAAGGTCACCTTCAAATCATAAGACCATTGGTTGGGGAGGTCATCTGGTCTGAATCAATCAATCATATCTTGATGGAAAATTTCTGAGTCTAAGACTCTCTTAGTAAGACAGCGGAAGAAACCGGTCATTGTACCACAGACCATATATGGTAAGGTAACAAATGTAACTAAAAATAACCAGACCTAAGTAGGTCACATACTCACCGACGCCCAGGTGGTGTTATTTTTACCCAAGGAGGTTTATTTTTTTCAACTACACGTTATTTGTTATGAGGGTATACGGAGACATCAATGATACATGCTATATGTTATGAGGGCATATAAGGGAATGAAGGCATCATTGATATCACATATACTCCACAATGTTATGAGGTCATATAAGGACATAATTGATAACAACTATACGTCATATATTATGAGGGCATATACGGGCATGAAGGCATCATTAATATCACATGAGGTTATATAAGGACATAATTGATATCAAAGATGCATCACATGTTATGAGGGCATACGGAGGCAATATTAAACCGGGGATATCTACTGTTTTCTTTAATGTGCGTAGCGGTGCATTTAATGTTAATGAATAAACAAGTAATTTATTTACTAATTATAGACAATTATAAACAATTTTGTAATAATTATTCTTATTACAATTATTATTATTATTATTATACTAGTATAAGCCTTGCAATTGTGCAATTATAGACAGGTAAGTCCTACGATCGAGTACTTACTTACAGATAAGCCCTACAATCGTGTAATTACATACAGATAAGCCCTACAATCGTGTAATTACATACAGGTAAGCCCTACAATCGTGTAATCACATACAGATAAGCCCTACAATCGTGTAATTACATACAGGTAAGCCCCACACTCGTATAATTACATACATGTAAGCCTTACAACCGTGTTATTACATACAGGTAATATGGGGGTCGGCGTGGTCGAGTCGGTAAAGCTCATGGTTGCTAAACCGAAAAGTCTCGAGTTCGAACCCTCGGGCAGATGAGGCTCGTTAGCTGGGGACAGCCACTCTTCTAGGAGAGACAACTCCAAAATTAAACAACTGCTGCCTTGTAGTTTGTTCTTGGTTGGACAAAGGCTATGGAAGCAAATCCAAAAAGAAAAGCAGGCTGAAATGGGAGTCAATGGCCTCAATGGCGCATAACCAGTTGACACGTACCGCTTAATTGTGTTGGAGGCGTGGTCGAGTCGGCAAAAAGCGCATGGTCTCACTGGCAGATAAATCTCGATCCCCTTCAACACTAATAATTAAGAACGAAGAAGAAGAAGAAGACATACAGGTAAGCCCTACAATTGCACAGCTGCAGGTAGCCACGGGCTTGGTCCTCTGGTATCAGTTCGATGTGGAATCAATTATTTACAACAGCCAGTGAAGCCTAGCTTTGTTGACAGGATTTAAAAAGAGAGTAGTTTCCCCTAGCCGTACAGCATTGGGCCCTTCCTGTAAACGGGCGGGTTGGGCACCCAGGTAAAGGGTCAATATATGACGTCACAGCGGTAACATGGGAAGGGTTGTGGACAGAGTGACGATCTAGGATCAGATGTGGGGCTCGGGGTTTATGTTGGGATAATTTTTTGACACTATTTGGAACATTCAATACTATCCTAACTAATCCTGACATTAAAAAAAAAATACTTTTAAAAAATAAACCCGGGCCCCTTTTGAGTGGGAGAGTCCATAAGGGTCGTCCATTATATCCATAAACTACGTCACACTCCTGGGGGGCAGGGGGGTCCGTATTTTTGTAACGGTATGACGGGGGAGGGAGGAAGTTAGAAAGGGATTTTTAAAAGTTTTTTTTTTTAAGTAAATCAAATTTTAGTCTTTACTGCATATTTTTAAAAGAATTCTTTTAAAAATATAAGTTGTAATACAAATTGAACAGTGTATTCAATGTTTACCAAATATCACGTGATGCCATGGACAGTTGAGGTGGGGGGGGGGGGAGATCAATGTCCACAAAATGTCAACCTTGCTCGTGGTAGCGAGACTGAAATGCTGATTGATTTGTTGGTGCACTTTTCCGTTAGAAGGACCGCGAGTCTATTGTATGGCATAGGGTAGTTTCCGAATAGGAGGGTGTAGAGTGGTTACGGCTAGGTTTTGGGTTAAGGTTGAAATTTTTTGTGTGATTTTCGGCCACCGTGAAGGTGTTAGAACAGTGTTGGAGAGTTTGATAGGAGGTTAAGGCTAGGGTTAGTTTAGGGGGTGACACCAAGGCAAAAAATGACAAAATATATATAGAGAGAAAAAATGATCGTTCCTGTTAAAAAATTGATAATTGTAATAACTGATATGTGGATAATGGATAATTGTAATAACTGATATGTGGATAGGCTTCTGTGATTAAGGAGGGGGGGGGGGGTCGGAACCAAATTTAATAATTTATTACAAAAGTAATTGTAGCACATGCCATAGGTTACCAGTCAGGCGAGATTATTTAAACCTTATATGGTTGCGGCCCATGTGGGACGGCTACTGTTGAGTTTATTTTTTCATGCTCTTCTGTGAACAGTATTTCCCCGTGTGTCCCATGTCATGTGACCTCTGGGTATGTGGGTAGTTGCGACAGTGTCAATTGGCATTCAAACCCCAGGCTGTGGGTGGCCAGGACAGTTGCTGACATGGGCATTGAATAACGAGTTGTATAGAGACCATATGAAGGTATTGTGATTTTATATTACTTGTGTTTGTATTACCATACTAGTGTCGCATGTTGCGGACAAGATATTTGTAGTTAATTATGTTTATATTGACCATTGCTTGTGGTTGTATTATCCTACGAGTGCCGCGTGTTGCGGACTAGTTATGTGAGGATTATTATATTTATATTACTTTAGTTCAAATAATTTTACTAGTACCACATGTTGCGGACTAGATAGATGGCATAAATTGTATTTATAATACTTGTTGGCAGTATATTGATAAACTGGCCGTAACTTTGAACTGTATTATTTTACGACGAGACTGCTGGTTTAGTAAGCCTCGGCACCCGTGTATTTGATGCAGCCTAATTGTTTATTTACATCTGTTTTAGAGCTATAAGTAATTGTACTTGTAATAGATCTACCTATCTATCTATGTACCTGCAATTGTACTATTCCGCGCAACGCTGTGTATACACTAAATAAGGATTCAGAAGCAAGCAGGGTCGTTTGTTTTTACTTTCTCGTATATACGAAGTATAGAGAAAGTATTGTAATCGTGCAAAAAAAAAAAAATCGAGATTTTTACAGATCTCGACGTTTTACACCTCACTGATACGGAAAAACATAATTTTGCAATCTTGTCCGTATGTCTGTGTGTGTGTGTGTCTGTGTGTCTGTGTGTGTGTCCGTGTGTAAACACGATAACTTGAGTACCGTTACAGCTAGGTTGATGAAATTGCATATATAAGTATTATATCAAAATCGTAGATCCGTATCAACTTTTGAGCGATTTCCGATAACCGGAAGTGGTACTTTTCCTACTTTGAATTTTTCAAAAGCCTATAACTTGAGTACTATTTCAGATAGATAAATGAAATTTCACATGTAAGTAAAAGATCTAATTCTCTACCTTCTGTTAAATTTTGAGTAATTTCCGTTGACTGGAAGTAGTAATTTACGCTACTTCCGATTTCTAAAAAAACTAATGTAAATTTTAAAAGTACTAATAATATTGCGCACTATTATGCGCTTTTTATTGGGCGTTCACTTGGTGTGCAATTAATTTGTCTACGAGATTTTATTCTATTTTTAAAACTTTAAGTATTTAAAATGGATTAAAAATCATGTCTATAGCCCGAGTTCCCATCCCCTGTTATTTTATATAAGAATATTCGAGAAAGTTTAGGGGAGGTCACTCCCGGTTTATTTAAGTAAAGAATCCTCTTTAGACCTAGCGATCTATTGGGCAGATGAATTTGAGTTCATATGTTTCCTGACTACGGCATTTGAAGAGATGGTGTCATCAGCACTGTTGCCAGCCGCCTTAAATTTTTCCAACGTAAGTCAGGTACCCATTACAGATGGGTGGACTCACGGCTAGGGTTTAGGACGAGGTTACTATGACGATACCAATAGAACGTTTTCGATACTTCTTCTTCGTTCTTAATTGTAAAGTGGGAAGGAATTCCCTACAAGTTTTACGTGTCAAACTGTTTAGCACCATATAGGCCGTTGGTTCCGACTTCAACCTGATTTTCCTTTTGGATTTTCTTCAATTTTCTGTCCAAACTAGGACAAACTACAAAGCAGGAGTTGTTTGATTTTGGAGTTGTCTCTCTTAGATGGGGTGTTATCCCCAGATATCGAGCCTTATCTGCTCGGGTATTTTCGGTACAGCAGCCACGAATTTTACCGACCCACGCAGTGGCGGAACTAGAAAAAAAGGGCCACCCCGCAAAAAAATAATTTCGGCCCCCTATCATATATATATATATATATATATATATATATATATATATATATATATATATATATATATATATATATATATATATATATATATATATATATATATATACTCATTTACACTGGCCTGTTCGGGTTTTGAAAGAAAAATTATTTTTTTCAATTAATACAAATTACAACATCATGTCATGTGTGTATGCTTAAGTCTGTGTTTTTTTGTAAGTCTCAGTCGTAAATGTATTTACACGAAAACAATAGAAACAGGGGTTCACCCAGACATCTCATCAGTGTGGTTTGTGAAAATCAGTTTTATTTTATCTCTGCTCTTGGATATTGTACTCTTTAATCGGTTAAAAGAATATAAAACATGAAAGCTTTGTAAAAGTAATGGTGTCTCGTGTTATGTTTATTTTTATGTTTTTTTATATTTATATTATTAATTTTAAATACATTTCCTTTTAGTGTAATGTCAATCTTTAGTTAGTATTTTATAAAAAAAATAATTAAGAGAAGCAATTGCTTTTTAATTTGTTTAGCACAAATCTATTAAAAAGAGCTTTTGAGCACCACTTTTTGACTATTTAAAAAGGGAAATAAGTCATGGAAGTGGTTTGAACGTTTGCTTATCTTTGATAAGTTTGATTGTAGGAGAAAGTGGACTCGGTTTTCACAATGGTTTAAAAACAAATTGAACAATAATATACAAGACCGTGGGGTGGTGTCTATAGAATAAAGATAATCCAACCGCAGCTACGGTAATCATTTTACAAAACAACCATCAAGTCAAAAATGCAAGAAAATTATTTTTTTTTTAACTATAAATTTTTTTTATGGTCGGCTGTGGGCCCCTAAATGGCGCGCCCCCCCCCCCCCCCCCGCATTGCGGGGTCTGGCGGCACTGTAGTTCCGCCCCTGGACCCACGCAGACCTCCAGTTTTTCGAAACGATTCCTTGCAATGCTAACAAGTATGGCGACCTCAAAATCCTATCAACAGGAGGATATTCTTTTTTAAGTAATAGAAAAACCCAACAACTTTAAATCTCTAAAAAAAAAACTACTCTGGATTAGACCTGCTACAAAAGTCTAGACTATGTGTACATACTAGATCTTACCCGACTTTGTCGTGGTCACTCCACAAGGCATGTCAAACTGACCCCGGAGCCGCCCCTTCCGGCCGATCTTTCTCAGTAGCTTCCCCTGGTCGCGCTCGGCTTTCACCAGCGAGTTATCGGCCCTGGCCAGCCGCTTCAAAAAATACATGTTGTCCAGTGTGGGAGTGACATCATCAAGATGTGCGCCCATATATCCGTGACGTAGGCAGCAGCCGATACATTGCTAGAGTCTGGCGTATCCCGTCATGTAGGGAGGACATAAGCAGGTTGTAGAGGAGGGGAGGGTAAGAGAACTGGACATACTGCTGGCACCACGAGATCTGAAAAGATGGTTAAACAATTTAAATAGGGGGGTGTCAAATGCATGGTGTATATATATATATATATATATATATATATATATATATATATATATATATATATATATATATATATATATATATATATATATATATATATATATATATAATTCGGGGTGTCTTGCGGGTGTCTGTATGAAAAGTTACTTTTTAGCTCTATACGCCGGTATTTACATATGTGTATATCGTATGTTTAGAACCTATTGAAACCTAAACTGATATAGAGCCTTTTTCTCAATAATATGTGGTAAATTAACACCCTAATTTCTCCAAATTAAAAATAAATATCCATCTCCGTCATCTATACACAATGTGTCCCCCCCTACACACACCACTACCACCCTATCACCCCCACCCTCCTCCACACCACTACCGCCTTATCACTCCCACCCCCACCCCCACACCACTACCACCCTACCCCCCCCCCCCACATACACACGCCACAACCACCCTATCACTCCCATCCCCACACCACTATCACCCTACCCCCCACCCCCCACACACACCACTACCACCCTACCCCCCCACCCCCACACACACCACTACCACCCTACCCCCCACCCCCCACCCCCACACATACCACTACCACCCTACCACCCTACCCCCCACCCCACACACACCACTACCACCCTATCACCCCCACCCCCCTCCACACCACTACCACCTTATCACTCCCACCCTCACCCCCACACCACTACCACCCTACCCCCCCCCACATACACACGCCACAACCACCCTATCACTCCCACCCCCACACCACTACCACCCTACCTCCCCCCCACATACACACGCCACAACCACCCTATCACTCCCACCCCCACACCACTACCACCCTACCCCCCACATACACACGCCACAACCACCTTATCACTCCCACCCCCACCCCCACACCACTACCACCCTAACCCCCCCCCCCCCCCCACATACACACGCAACAACCACCCATCACTCCCACCCCCACACCACTACCACCCTACCCCCCACCCCCCAGACACACCACTATCACCCTACCCCCCACCCCCACCCCCACACACACCACACACACCACTACCACCCTACCCCCCACCCCCCACCCCCACACATACCACTACCACCCTACCCCCCACCCCACACACACCACTACCACCCTACCCCCCACCCCCACACATACCACTACCACCCTACCCCCCACCCCCACACACACCACACACACCACTACCACCCTACCCCCCCACCCCCCACCCCCACACATACCACTACCACCCTACCCCCCACCCCACACACACCACTACCACCCTACCCCCCACCCCACACACACCACTACCACCCTACCCCCCCACCCCCCACCCCCACACATACCACTACCACCCTACCCCCCACCCCCACACACACCACACACACCACTACCACCCTACCCCCCCACCCCCACCCCCACACATACCACTACCACCCTACCCCCACCCCACACACACCACTACCACCCTACCCCCCACCCCACACACACCACTACCACCCTACCCCCCCACCCCCCACCCCCACACATACCACTACCACCCTACCCCCCACCCCACACACACCACTACCACCCTACCCCCCACCCCACACACACCACTACCACCCTACCCCCCCACCCCCCACCCCCACACATACCACTACCACCCTACCCCCCACCCCACACACACCACTACCACCCTATCACCCCTACTCGTCACACCACCACAAACAAGGGCCACAAGTCACCTTAAAATAACTCCCGTTCTAACGATACAGTAAATAACCTCTCCATCTCTCAATCATACAGTAAACAGCTCCCCCACCCCCACCCCAGCACGCTGTCATCCCCCCCCCCCCCCAGCGCGTCTGGCTCAGGGTTTCATTCACTCTCCACCCTGTCTGTTGGCGTGTGTGAGCCAGTTATCGATCTCCCTCTGGCCACGGCCATTGATTGGTTAAATTATGCACTTACTCTCAAACCCGAGCTCTGTCGCGGGTAGTTAGAGAGTACACTCGACCAGAGGTGGCCAGAGTTTTTGACTTATCGGCCAAAGTTTGGTCAGTCCTATGTTTTAAAAAAAAAAATTAGTTCAAAACATTCCAACGAACCAGACGAACAGCTTAATTTTTTGTTATTTTAAACGTTGAGATAAAAAAAAAACTGCGCAATAAGCTGGTAGCTGACGTGCTCTGATTCAAAAGGCCAAAAAACTAAATCTAAAAAAAAAAACGATTTAAACTGTTCACGCAGAATATGTTGGGAAAAAAAGAATTCTCAATCTAAAATGAATCGGTAATTGTGGATAAAAATACAAACATTTATTACAGCTTGGGAAAATATGCGCGTTATATTTATGATGGTGTGTTGTTGGCCCATGTGGCGTCGCGTTAAAATATAAATACAGAAATGCAATAGATAGAATTTCAAAATTATACTAAGTAAAGTTAATCATACATTGCTAGTTCAGAAAAATTACATAAATACAAAAAATGGCTAATGTAATCACTAGCATTTTAAAATTTAGTGGGCTAAATATAACATATCACATATTGTGAGTTCAGAAATATTACATACATACGAAAATTGCTAATGTAATCACTCGAATTTTTAAATTTAATAAGTAAAGAAAATCACACATTGGGAATTTAGAAATACTACAGGGGTCGGCGTGGTCGAGTCGGTAAAGCTCATGGTTGCTAAACCGAAAAGTCTCGAGTTCGAACCCTCGGGCAGCCACTCGTCTAAACCACAACTCCAAAATTAAACAACTGCTGCCTTGTAGTTTGTTCTTGGTTGGACAAAGGCTATGGAAGCAAATCCAAAAAGAAAAGCAGGCTGAAATCGGAGTCAATGGCCTCAATGGCGCATAACCAGTTGACACGTAATCCTTAATTGTGATGGAGGTGTGGTCGAGTCGGCAAACGCTCATGGTTGATACATTCGAAACTAGTCTCGAGTTCAAACCCTATAACTAAAAATTAAATATTCTGCTGGCAACACATATTGTCAGACGTATTAGTTGTGTTCTAGTCTTGGTCGTTTGCTCCCCTGACAACCCCTCCCCAGGTCCCCCCGCCATGTACGCCCCCACACGCCCCCACACATTGAAACACGCTCCATCCGTTTTTGTGTCCGTCTGATTATGTCTGGGTCAACGTATTTCACCATTTGTCTGTTTGTTTGTCCCTTTGTCCATTTTTCGAATTCTCATCAATAAATGTATTCTGTTATACATCTTCATAACGTAAGTCCAGTCTCTATATACATTTAAAGCTCTCTGTCTACCTACTCAAAAAAGTTACCCTTTCGAACCTGACGGTTCAGGTAGAGTCAGATGTTTCAATGACCTCGGCTTTGTTTTCCCTTACTTTCCCATCAGCTACGGCATAGGCCTACGGACTCAAGACAGGGATACGAACTCGAGACATTCGAGTTAGGAGTTTTGCGACCTGCCGTCCGACCATCTATATTCCCACCTATCCCATCTATATTCCCACCTAACCCATCTATATTCCCACCTATCTCGTCTATATTCCCACCTATCCCATCTATATTCCCACCTATCCCATCTATATTCCCACCTATCCCATCTATATTCCCACCTATCCCATCTATATTCCCACCTATCCCATCTATATTCCCACCTATCCCATCCAAATGCCCACCTAACCCATCTATATTCCCACCTATACCATCTATATCCTCACCTAACCCATCTACATTCCCACCTATCCCATCGACCTATCCCATCTACATTCCCACCTATCCCATCTATATCCTCACCTATCCTATCTATATCCTCACCTATCCCATCTATATCCCCACCTATCCCACCCACCTATCCCATCTACATTCCCACCAATCTCATCCACCTATCCCATCTATATTCCCACCTATCCCATCTATATTCCCCCCTATCCCATCAATATTCCAACCTATCCCATCTATATTCCAACCTATCCCACTCTATATCCCCACCTATCCCATCTATATCCCCACTTATCCCATCTATATTCCCACCAATCCCATCCACCTATACCATCTATATTCCCAATTATCCCATCTATGTTCATATCCCATCTATATTCCCACATACCCCATCTATATTCTCACCTATCCCATCTATCCCATCTATATTTCCATGTATCCCATTTACTCTTCCATCCTATCTATTATCCCACCAACTCCCTCCAATTCTGCATCAAACAACCACTCCAAATATATCCATCCAGCGTTACCAGCCCCTTCACATCACGGCTATATTTATGCAAGGGGGGGGGGAGAGAGAAGATTCCTCTTGTATTATTTATTGACGTCAAACGCAGCCCTCCGTATTAAGTTCTATCCGAAAAGTTGCCAGGGAATGGCCACACGCCGAAGCTTGTGAAAATCTCGGCGCGCTAATGTAGACAAAAAGCCAAACAGGCAACATTTGGAAACCAAAAGACGTCATTATGGCCAGAATTATGTTCCTCGTTCATTTTCTCTCCCCAACTGACAAGTATCGATGTTGTTGGTTTTTTTTGTATCGAAAATAATGCACATAACGAGCAAAGCGAATACGACTCTTTTTCTCCAACGATCTTGTTCGGGGCAAAACAAAAATATTTATTTTAAAAATAGGTTGAGGGTGAAATCTAAAAATGGAACTAAGTTTAAAATAGACCACTGTTTATTTTCGGCCTAATCCTTCTTGGTGGTTTAAAATGTATTGGCTTTCAGGGTTAATTCTTTGGGATATAAAAAATAAACTAACCGCTGTTTAGTTATAGAGTTAGCTTTTATGGAACAGTAGAGAAAGTAATTCAATTTGAATTACGTAATGTAAGCCAACGAAAACTAACAGTCGGTGGTCAATACTGCAGATGAAGTAGAGTTCATCTGTTTCGGTAACGTCAGCCGCCTGTCTTTACCTCCTTGTTTACTTGTTAGAGGGCTTCAGTTCAGTTTAGTCCCTGCGGTGTTTTTTTTTTTTTGTTGACGGTAA